TCTATCTGCACTTGTGTGTTTCCATTTCAGCTGCTTGCAAAAACTTATCTTGATTGGCCGGATTGTAAGATTTTTTTTTTTGTGTGAATGATAACTTTCTGCACTTATATTGGCAATACATGTCTGTACATAAAAGTTGCATAGACTATTATATTAATTATGACTTGCTGAAATTGTTTCATTTAATGTAGGGAAGGATTGTGGCTAAGGCAATGATTTGCTCCTCTCCTGCAATACTAGAAGGGACATGTATTTTTGTCTAAGACCCCATGTAGTGCAAAACACAAGTTGGTGGTTTTTTTGTTTTTTTTTTTGTTTGTTTGTTTAATACTTAAAATATCCTGGATCTGGGGGTAATACATAGAAATATCAAAGTCAAAACTTTGACAAAATTCAAGATTCAGGGAACTGCATGGAATACAAGGAGCCTAATTGTCTTGGCAGGTCTTTGTTTGTCTGGCTGGAGTTACTAAAGCCACAGTAATATTAGAATATGTGTGACTTAAGACCCTCAGCAGTACTGAAGCTGGGAAAGCCCTTCTCCTTTGCTGTTGGCTTGACAGATTTGCTAAAGGTGGACTTTGCTGCATGGAACAGGACCTGCTAAGAGTTGACTCATTGTCCTGGCTCTCTGTGCTCTAAGTTGCCTATTTAGCTTCAGCTGTGCTCTCTAATGACTCAGCCAAAACCAGATGGTGGTAAGTGAAGGCACCACTTGATACTGGAAGAAGGCTGCCTCTTCCCAGAGCAGAGCTATGCACTTAAAATTGTCATCTGCTTATTCTATCAGTCTGACTCAAATCTGGGAACCACTGATGTTCCAGTTACAGACTTACAAAAAAGACTAGTTTTTGTATAAAGCCTGGATTATTGACTCCATAAACACCTGTGCTCTTCAAAATGGAAGAAATGTTTGCAGATTGCCTCAAGGATTCCAGTCAGAACACATTAGCCTCGCACATTACATCTCCTACCCAGGAAAAATATACTCACTGCACAAGTCATCTGATTACTTGCATCATCACATTAGCAGACTAAGACCTATATGCTTCTTTAGCAACATCAACCTTCAGTACAGCACTTTTATCTCCTAACTTTTCCCCTTTCTACAGCTTCCATTAGGTGGCTTGAATTGAGAAGGGTAATTCACAGCAGCAGGCAGTTACTTCACATTTTTCCATAGTAATTAATGCTTTTTTATGTCAAGGAGTTTACTTTTCTCCTGCCATAATTTAAGTTACTCATGGCCTTAGTGCTTTTCATTCAGAATAAAATGATCACTTTAACAGGTGTCCTTTGCATGAACTGGATCTCCTTCTCCCTCAACCCCAGTGTACACTACAGTCATTGCAGATGTGGATGCATGGGGAGGGGTGTTCTAGTGAGAGCATGAAGAGTTCTTGCCCAGCACTAATAGTAGATCAGGACGTGCAAGTAATTGTCCCTGTTTTGAGTCATTGTCAGTCAAATGGAATAAAAACTGTTCTTGCTTATGAACTTCTGACAGTAGTAGAGCAAGGGGAATTCTGGTTTATATCCAAGGTATCTTAATGTGAAAATGGCTTGGGGAGTCTCATTTAGACCTGCCTGTTTCACTCTTATCCTGTGGCAAGATAAAAATACCATCTTAAAGTTGACAGCAGTTAAGCCAGAAAAATCTGCTTAACTTTTGAAAATGTACCCTAGGAAAAGGACACTTCCTGGAGGAGTTTTACAGCTTTAAAATGTCCCATGAGCAGGTATTCTGCTGAGTGATACTGTCTGTAGTCAGTGGTCTTGGAAAAAGAAAGTGGGTATTCATGCTGGGTTGTAAAACTTAGCAGTGAACTCCTTCTCAAGGCTCTGAAAATATCCTGCAACCAAGGGATGTGGTTCTGAATTACATGAGTTCGTGATCTGGAAGCATTGCTATCTAGAGGGATTAGGAAGTAACACTTGATCTCTTTAATCTCTGTGACATGCTGAGTATAAGGAACTATTGCAGTGGCATGCCTCTGTTGAAAGCCTGGAATTTAACAGCTCTTTGAAGAAAGGAAGAGACTGTACCCAGTGAACAAACTTCATTACCTTTGTTCCCAAAGTAACAGTATTCTGTACTTCTCATAGAATATCACAGGAGACCTTAGGCCTCTGGAATAGTTCAGGGTTTTGTTCTACATTGAAATATTTATTTAAGGAATACAAAATGTTTTCTTCAAAACTTTCAGGTATGTAAAATAGAACTTTTGCCTTGTTTGTGAGGAGCAAACAGGCCAGTGGAACAAATGTTCAGTGTGACAAATGGAGTATTGAGCGAGAGGAAAAATCAAATAAGAGCAGGCGACTAGTAGGGTGTTTTTTCTGTCGAAAGGGAAAAGCAGTCAAACTTGACATAAGCTAATTTGGAACCTGAGACTTACTGAGAATTCTCCAGTTTCAGAAGAAAATTTGGTAGTTTCAGAGTAAGAAGCTGCCAGCTGGGAAGTGAGCATGGTGTTTTTAATGAAGTGCAATTTTTGTCTTCTATGTGACTATTTTATGACCTTTAAAAAATAATCAGAAATATCTCTAGCTTTTGATTTTTGAAATACGGTGAATGTAATTACAGGGTTCTTGTCTATTGCATTTTTTCTTGTATGTGTGATGAAAGCACTGTACTTGCTTGAACAACAGGAGAGTAATTCTACTTCTCTCTATTTGCAAAACCCTTAATACTGTGCTGGGTGCTGCTACAATGTGGACTTAGTGACAATTTGGCCTTAGTAATACATTAAGGAAATGACTGTGTAATTCATTGAGCCATTTTACTGAGACTATCTTAAACAGTAGCTTTGAACTGAGGGGTTTGTTTAATGTTCTCCAGTAGCTTAATGGCTAACTTCATACAAAGGCTGCTGCAAAATTCTATTTCTTCAAGAAGAATGTATTTGACAGATTGTAATTGCTTCTGTGTTCCTTGCACATACATGAATGTGCAAGAATGCCCCTGAACCTGGAACATCCTGTGTTCTGCCAGATTTCAAATAATGATTTGAATCAAGTGCTGTGGCTCAGATCCACTTCTAATTCTCCCCCATTGTTGGCTCCCAGGTTGCTGCTTTAAATCTGAAAAGCAATTCTGTGATTACTTGGTGCAGAAGCATTCGTGAGAGCAATAAGAAGAAACTTATTATTGCACTGGTCTTTTTTAACATCAGGTCGCTTCCTATTTTGTATAACTTAAGAATTATTCACCTTTCTAGTTGTTCTATGAGTGTCTTCAGCAGTTTTGGGTTGGTTTCTCACTCTGTACAGCCTGGCATGCTAATTACATTCTGTTCACTGCTTTGTTACAGTGTAAAATGCCATCCTAAATAAATAACAAGCCATAGCTGTGGCTCTTGCAGTCTTGCAGAAGCAGAGCAACCTATTTTAACATAAAAACTGAAGATCTGCTATTTACTTCTATCCGAAGAGCCTTTAAAGGGCAAAACCCCCCTCCTTGTAATTTAAGCAATATTTAGGAATTTTTTCCAAGTCAGTTGCTCAGACTTTAAAAAAAAAAATACTGCTTATCCAGGTTACTGTTAATGCCCAATAACAGGAAAGCTCAGAACAAGAGCTGGCTGAAGAATGGTAAGTATTTTTTTTCCAAGTATTTTTTGTTACACTTGCAGTTTAGCATAAAACCAAATTCAGTGATGAAGAGGGAATTGACAACAGGGTATCTCTCTCATTTCTGTCAATGTCCTTTACTTCAGTGGATCTCTGAGGTTGAAATGGAATTATCAGCATGTTTTTGCTTTCTGTGAACTAGACTACTTTGTATGAAAATGCATAAAATAAATGAACTGTGTTCAAGCTTTTCCTCCCTTTAAAACTGAAAATACTGGTGTGGGTGGAAAAAGTCTACAAGCTTCTGTTTTCCATCTCTGCCCTTCCTCTTCCAATGGTCTCTTACTTTTGTAAATGGAGCTGATATAAGAGAAGGCTAAGGGCAGTTATTGTTTCCTCTAGGAAGGACTGTCCAATGTACATTTTCTCCAAAGAGTGTTTGCTCTGTGCATCTGATGGTCATGGAGATAGAGGCAAGCCTGGCTTTCCTGGCATGGACTCCTCCCTTTAACAGATTTTCATGCTGCAACTTTACATTTTAGGTTACTGCCACTTTGCTGCCTAGTGTCATTCTTGCCAATAACACATGCAGAGAACAGTTACTAGAAATAGAAGGGTTTAAGTCACTGTATTTCAAATAGGGAAAAAAAGCCCAATTCTAGGTGTAGTAGGCTGACCTAGGTGCTTAGTAGCCTATGTGCTAGGCATCCACCAAACTGCTTTATCACTCTGCTGTGGAACTGGATAGGGGAGAAAATATATCAAAGGTTTGTGAGTTGAGATAAGGTCCAGGAGAGATCACTCACCAAATACTATAGTGGGCAAAACAGACTCAATAAACCTAAACCTAGTGTAAGAGAAATTATTTTTCCACAATTTTGCCATTGGAAGCCATTGCCACCACATTGCAATTAGAGAACACCTTGATGCAGTCATTGTGGAAAAAAAAAAATTGCTATTGACTATTCCTTTCTAACAGCTCTGCAGTAAATGCTGGTGCCAATTCTACACAGGTAAGTTTCAGAAGAAGAATTTTTCTTTTGAACAAAAGGAATGAGGAGAAAGACACAATAGGACAGCAATCCACAGAACCTTTGCTGTCTTGGGAAATGGCCTGTGTAAAACTAATCTGACCTGAAACTAAAAAGGCAATTAATTGCCTTCTGGGGAGACTGCTAGGTGATAAACACTAGTGGTTTGTGGGGAGAGGGGGAGGTTTATTAATTGTATCAAAAGGGCTTGATGCATATTTTATATAAAATGTTCTTGCTTTTAGCTTAAAATTATTTTGTTCTGTCTGTCTTCTCTCTCTTCCGGACTTGGCCGGGCCATGTACAAATCCCAATCATTCAACAGTACTGGAGAGTAGATAGTATTTACCTCAATAATGGTAGTTTCTTTTCGATTCTTTCTAACCCTCAATTCAGATGATGGTTCGAAGCCAACGCCTACCATGGAAACCCAGCCTGTTTTCGATGGAGAAGGTAAGAACATCCCTTAAAATAACAACCAAAAAAGCTACTTCCCTCTCCCTTTTCTCTAGGATTTATGTTTCAAATGCCTTCTTTATCCTGCAAAGCAGACAAGCCAGTGAATCTCATAAGTTATCCAAATTTTAGAGTGCCCTTGGGACCTCGGACGTTTTCCCTAATCCTTTTACATCCTCCCCACTTTTCTGGAATCCAACAATAACACCAGTTGATCAGACTCCTGGTGTAATCTTGGAAGAAAATTGTATCCCAGCAAGTAGAAATAAGGTGCATCAAATCAGAAGTGGCCACTTGCTTTAGACTGTCCTTACCCCCGTTACTGTCTCCACTCTCATGATATTAATACTGGGAGTTTCATAACCTCTGCAGCGTGTTACAGCTTCACAAAAGGAAGGGTAATGCTAAACCACAGCTTGTGAATGTTGACTTGGAAGAAAATTGCTGGGAGGTTTCTTTATTTAGCAGATGCTTTCATTGACGCACATACTATTTAAGCAAATGAAGTCATTGTCCTGGGCCCACTTAATTCATGGCCCACCCAGGCAGTTTCCTTCTCAAATAGGCACTCTTGCAATTGTATTATTTTGGAGAGGGTATGTAGGACCTTAGTCTATTGGAAGCCTTTAAACAAGGATAAAATTGCTGTCATCACAGAGGGTTCAAGCCTTTTACACATACAAACATAAATACGAGTGGGAATAGAGCTCCTTTGGTAGTGAATGGGCCTGATAGCAGCTGCTTATATCTTGCATATTGCTTGGAAGTGGTGCCTGTTTTCTGCAGGTTTAAACCCACAACCATTATAGTGAAGCTATGGGCTGAAGTATGAACCACTCTGTGGCCCATCAGAAACTATGGAGCATAAGGCAGTGAAGGAAAGCCTATGCATTTCCAGAGGGGAGTGCTGTACTTTATGCATTTTTTAACCTGGATCAAAGGCAGAAATGGAGACTACTGAGCAAGAGTACGAGGTGCTTTCCTGTTGACATTTCCTGCCTTCTTGTAGAAACGGGTGCTGTGGTGGGGATTTATTGTTGCTAAAATAAACATATTTAACAGCAAGATGCTGTAGTCCTATCACTTCATATTTAGTGATTGTAGATTTATAACAGCCTTCTTGTGAGCTTTAAGAAACAGCAAAGCTCTCAGAGAAAAACCACTCTCAGATAAAGGAAGGAGACTGAAGCCATGCTGGCTCTCTTATTTATATCAAAAGAAGGTTCTTCCTGGCAGTAAGGTGACATTGTATTAAATTACTATTGGCAATCACAAACTTCTGACCTTTAATTTTTCTCCTGAGAAGGTACCCATAGATATTTAAAGGAAAGAATGAGCTAATAGCATGCAGGAGTGAGATGATGTGGTTAATACAGCCTGTTCAGAAGCTCCTTCCAGGAGAGTTTCAATGCTTTCGTCATTCAGTTAGAACTGGACAAAGTTCCTGAAGTGGTGTAGTGAACACACCTTTTCTGGTTCTTCTGGTGACAGGCAGAATCTGAAAAAAAGTGTTATCCTACCTCCTATGAAAAACATTTTCAATCAAAAACCTTCACATTGATTTGTTGGTGAACTCCAGTCTGATAAATGGGCATGGGCTGAATGATGAAAGATTGGCTCTCCAAAACATTATGATACATTATCCAAGACCTTATCTCCTAGACTTTGAGAGAGATTGACTAGTGCAATGGCCCCTGTTGTATTAGCAGGGTTCCTTATGACTCTGGAGAACAGATGGACAGGCAGGTTAATTAGGCTATGCATTGATGAATAATTTCTTCTAAATTTGTCACTCTATATTTTTTCATCTCTATTAGTAAAGTAGGACTAAATATTTAATGGTGTGATTCTTGGGGTGTCCTCTGCAGCACCAGGAATTGGACTTCAATGGTTCTTGCAGGTCCCTTCCAGCTCAGGATTTTCTGTGATTGAAAAGTCCTGAGCAACCTGGTCTGTTCTTGAAGCTGTCCCTATCTAGAGCAGAACGTTGGACTAGACATCTCAGGATGTCATCCTGAACAATTCCTTGATCCTATCTGAACAAGCATATTGTGATACTTCACTAGAAGACTCTCACAGTGTCTTGAATAGGTCTTCCTGGGGAATGGCTTGTACTTGGTGTCTGGCACAAATGACAGGAAAGGTCAGAACAGTTATCCATTCACCTGTCAGATGGAAATCTTCATAGATGTTCAAGGGCATCAAAGTTCAGATCCCATTCCACTCCACTGAATTGGAGAACTGAGGGGTTCCTGTAAACCGATATATTCAAAGTCAGGCAGCCAGGGTGGAGCTGGTATCAACATGAATGGACAATTACAATGTAAATGTTTTTCATGTTGTGCCTTTGATTGCCTACCTTCCATACACAAGGGGCTGACTTTTTTCCAAGGACGTTACATACACTCAGCTGCCCCTGAAATGTGTGATACCTCTGGACTTCAACATCTCTAAGATGAAGGTTCACCTTTCTCATGTTTTCATCTGCATTAGAGGATAATGAAAATTCACATTTCATGCATAAGTTCTCCTCCCACTCCCTTCCATCTTCCCTGAGGGCATAACAGAGTAGTGCCAGAGATAATGTAAATCAGATAACTTAAACTCTCCCATCCAAAGTTTGAATCATAACACAGCCATCTCTCAAAAAATTATTTCATATTATTATAATGCAGATCTTAGAGATTTTTATAGTGAATCTTTTTTTAGGACAAGATTCTCCTCTGCTGAAGAGTGTTTTATTAATGTCCTTTGTATAGTTTTAAAAAAGTTATATTCCCTCCTGCACTTCTAGGCTCTGTTACTTTGTTTTTACCATCTATTTAATTTCTATGCAAGGAGTAATAATTTCCTGAAGATATCTTCTTTAAACATCTCTTCTTTTTGGTAAACTTCACCTCTTAATTCAGTGGGAATCTACTCTTTCCACAGATCTGTTGTTCAGAGGTGTCTGTAATCCAAAAAGATATCCAGGTTACCTGGATTGAAAATACATATTTATGGTAGATTCCAAGGAATTACTTCCCTTTTCTTTCTCTTTTTTCACAGTATTCCTTTTTGTGCATCTTTCAACCTCACTGAAAGATGCACACCATTGTATTTCTAAAGGCCTTTATCCATTCTTCAGCATCTCTTGACTTGGATTGTCCCTCCTTTTTCAGCTGTGGACATACCTGGTCCACATGGTGCAGATTCAGAGCTAAATTTCATCCCAGGTTTAGGAGTTTAAGCCCCTTTTGGGGAGAACTACCTCAAATTAAACATTGGGTAAGAGCTAGGAAGGGGAGAAGCACAAAAGTAGAATTAGTCCATAAACCAAAGCATGTAGGTATATGTATTTATAGAAACATATGGTGGCTGAATGTTGATAAAATAGTGTCATGAAACTGGCAGATAAGGCAATTTTTGATATTCCAGCAGCAGTACAAGTTTGTTAAACAGTGTTCAACCTATACTTCCTTGTGAAAAATTGCCCTGAATCCAATTACTGTAATGCATCCAATCAATGTGGCTGAAAATATTTAGGAAGGAGAAATTAATTTTCTTTTTCTTTTAATGTTCTTGTAATTTATAATCAGTTTCTTTTTACTCAGCCAACTTCTCACTTTGATGAGCAGATCCATGTACATGTCAACAAAGGAGCAGGAAAACTCCTGAAAAGTTCTTTGAGGGATGTAAGAAAAACCTCAGGATGTACAATTTAAGTTGTGGAAACTGAAAGTTTTTTCAGAAAATATCAGTCCTGAAAATGTCACTTGAGGTGCTCTAGCCCATGGTAGCAAGTACTGCTTTGCTCAGTTCTAATCAAATGCTGAGGTTATGTCATTTCTGTGGCTTAGGGCAGGTTCAGATATGTTTTGAACTTGATTATAACACCTCAGAGGAGGTGCTCTAAGCACTTTTTTTTCACAAATTTATGTTTGGATGTCTTGGTTAGTGCATCAGACATGCTTTTCTAACCAGAACCTATTTCTTTAACAGACTTCCTTTCAAGTCTTTCCAGAAATATCTTCATGTCTCTGCCTATTTATTTCAGATTTTGTTGTTGCTTGTTTTAGGGAACTGACTGTGGCCAGACCTTCTTGGGGCTGTTAAAGCAATATTTAAGGTCTGGATTGACTGCTTAAAATCTAGATTTCATATATACATTTGAGGGAAACATCATATACTGTAGCATCCAATGCACTGTTTGTGATCTGAGTCTTGAGGAAAAAGGCTTTTTGAGAATTTAGGAAGTGTGGGTTAGAGGGAGGAAAAAAATGTTTTGCCAGCAGAGATAGACTTTCTGGAACAGCAAGATAATGAGACAACCTTGTGGAAGATTTACAAATGGTGGTTCATAAGAGTTGGAAGACCTCACCAGGGGACGAACCTGTCTGTGCAAAGATGACAGATCAGTTAAGGCATGATTGTAGCCAACATCTTGTTTTTTATGGAGTCTGAAAGAGTTGAGGTTTTTCAGAAGACACCTTCTAGCACCTTCTAGTCCCTGAAGCCAGCCTACAAGAGAGCTGGAGAGGGACTTTTTACAAGAGCATGTAGTGACAGCAACAAGGGGGAACAGCTTCAGACTGAAGGAGAGTAGGTTTGGATTAGGTATGAGGAAAAAATTCTTTAATGTGAGGATGGTCAGGCACTGGAACAGGTTGCCCAGAGAAGCTGTGGCTGCCCCAGCACTGGAAGTGTTCAAGACCAGGTTGGATGGGGTTGGAACAACCTGGTCTAATGGAAGGTGTCCCTGCCCAAGGGGGAGTGGGAATAAGATTTTATTTAAGGTCCTTTCCCACCCAAACCATTCTATGATTCTGAGTAACTACCCTGTGTATTTTTACTAGTTGCTGCAGTTTCTTTAAGGCTGTTATTTTCATTCTTTCAGAAATCACAGCACCTACCCTTTGGATTAAGCACTTGGTCATCAAAGATTCCAAAATGAACAGCTCCAATATAAGGAATTCAGGTAACGTTCAGTCTAAAAAAATAATTTTAACTAGTCAGTAGCTCTTCACCATCTGATCCTGTTTCATTCTTTCTTCATGGTAGCTATCAAGCTGCTAGGGGCACTTGCAACCCAAGCTATAAAGTAATTTCAGATAAAGTCCTTTTTTGTGCCCAAAGGGCCATAATCAATGTGTGATAAAGGATGTTTGATTCCACAAACCATAACTGGGGAATCTCTTAATTTCTTAATCTGTTAATTCATTCATGTTTGCTGTTCAGCATGGATATATGAACTGATGCATTTGGCTGAAAGATCTGGGCTGTGGTTTTGGTCTAAGCAGTTGCAAAAAATAGAAAAGGGGCTTCTTTTCTAGTGAATTCAAGATTCTTCTCTGTAGGTGATATTTTTTGATGAGTGGATTGTTTCACAATTAAAAGTGGTTTAATTATGTGTGGGCCTAAGAAAACGTTGAGATTGTTTTGTGGGTAGTAGAGTGGATGGGGGGAGACCAACGCCTAAAAAACAGCAAAGAAGAGATAATGAAGATGAGTGGAAAAGGGGAAGCAGGAAGACAGGAAGTCTGGATGTAAAACTTGAGATTGGAGATGCAGGTGAAATGGTGGAGTGGAGTCATTGAAATGAGAAGAAACCAGAGAATCTGAAGAGGAAGATTAGGGATTCTTAGTAAGAATGGTTTGTGTCTGATATTTTAACTGAGGTGAGAGAAATGAAGAAATTGAAGGGAGTAAAAGAGAACAAAATTGCTTTAAGAAGCCATGGGTTTACTTTAAGATTTGAATAGGAGATTCTACTGTTACATGTATTTTATTAAACATATATGCCTAGAATGGCTGCTGGAATACTTCCAGTCACCTGAACAGATAAATTTTGATATATTGAAGTGCCTCATCATCTGGTATTTCTGGATTAGCTAGAGAGTATTCATGACAGTTCCTTTAACCTTCCTCTGCCACTTCCAAGCTGCAGGGTGCAATCAGTGCTAGGCTGGGGGAAACCCTCTTGCTGCAGAATGAAGAGCTCTTGGCAGGAGAACGGCCAGCATTGCCCAGACCACAGTTTTTGCAAGTCTCTTGAGCTTCAGCTCCCAGCTGTTTTTGTAGCAGGGTCTGTATAGGATCTGCCAGTGGGAGTCATCCAGAAGTTTCAGATGATGTGTGAGTATCAGCATCCTTTTTTAAGGATGTCTTTCAGGGGAAAGCAAATGCAGCTTCTGTTTTTTGTCAGCTGCTGGGACAACCAGCAACTGACAGTACAATTGAAGGTGACAGTGTAATATTAAAATACTTTGTAAAGGGTCTTGCCTATCTTGGAGACCAGCTTTCCTTATAATACAGCAAACCTCATAGCTGTAATGGGAAGAAGAGTGAGTGCTAAGAGGTTGCAAAGGGACTTGGGAGAAGGAGGGTCTGTCTTCCAACCATTCTTGGCCTGACAGAGCCAAAGCAGGCTGGCTTTCATGTTGTAAAGGCAATCACTTTGATTGTTTAGTCAGGAAGCTGCCTGATGTGAACTGGAATTTTGTCTGCAGAAGCGTTCTTTGTGTGAGTTTACTTTTGTCCCCTTTTTTCAATTGTTTCTGATGTCAATTCTGTTACTCAAATAAAATTATTGTGAGTGCATGCTACAATTGAAAAATAAATGATCTTGTGGAAAATTCAAGAGCTGTGTAAGAGGTGGTTTATAAAGCAAGCTAAAAGGAGACATGTGGTTCATCTGACTCAGCCTTACTGATTGCTCTGATGCTCACTTGCTGTAGGGTCTCGTTAAAAGACTGGGTTGCCAACTTTTATCCCCAAATTTCCCCATTGGGCCATAAAAATGCACAGCCATTTCAGTTTCTCACAAATTAAGGAATGCTGCCTAGAGCTATGGTTTAGGTGTTATAAAGTGTGGGCTACTTCAGCCTTTTTCTTTCAAACAGCAAAGCCTAGTCACCTTGTTTGATATCTTTCATTCTTTTCATCCCTTGTAATATATGTTAAAGGCAATGTGCAGTAGATGGGATCAAACTGCAGAAAACTAGGGGAGATAATTATAATTTAGAATCATGTTTCTTCAAGTGTCTTCGAGTCTGTCTTGGCTATAAATGATGAAACAGCTGTCATGAGATGGGCATGCAAAACTGGGAGATGTTTTTAATTGCCTTTGGCCCAACTTGAAATGCTAAAGCTTTGCACATTTCCATTTTTTAAATTTATTTTTAAAGGGTTAAGATAAGTTTTGCTAGCACAAGATTTGGATTCTTCTGTTTGTTGTTGCCTCAGCTGTATTGTCTATCCAAGTTTACAGTCTTGGAGCAGATATAGCCTTGTACGCTTTTGCAGCAGTTTAATGGGATCACTGAAACTGGAAATGAGAAAAGAGAAAAGACCTAGGAGGTCATCTAATCTACTGCCTTAGGGCTAGTGAATGTTTGTACTGTAAGGAGAGCAGCATTTTCTACTGTACCATAAATGCCTTAGATAATAAAGATTTTATTTCTTCCCAAAGGAAGCTGCTCTGCTCTCTGCTTTCAATCTCAGATTTTTTTTTCTTTTTGTAATATCCAGCCTAACTCTTCTTTTACTTCCTATTCCTTGGAGTTTGTATAGTGAAACACTTAGCTGTGATCTCTCTTGTGGTGATTATATGGCCCTGTCCTTTTCAAAGACACTGCTGTCAGAGGATGTGTGCTGTTCTCTAATCAGCACTGACACTGGACATCTTGGAAAGCAAGCACCATTGCTACGTCAACTAAGAGGAGAATTTCAGAATTGCTATATGGAGTCAAATAGACTCTTTAATTTGCTGTCATTGTCTCTGGTCAATGTTAGGTGAGCCACCCACCAGGCAGCTGAGCATTGCAGAGCTGGTGGCACCCCATGTAATATATGCTGCCTGTATCCTGTAAGAGCTGCATTTGAAATCTGAGTATTCTATCTTCTGTTTAGTGTTGACAAACAGAAGAGGTTCTTCTGAAACTGATCTCTCTTTTTTTGGAGCACTTACATTTTGTTTGGCATGTGTAAATCCTAATTAAGCTAGGGATCAGGAAAAGCAGAATGACTCTAGCCTGGTGATTAGAGCACTTGACTGAGAATCTGTATGTCTCCAGGCATTTTGCCAGTGAGTTTTTCTGTGCTCAGTAAAAGAGCAATGCTAGGAGGGATTGCTAGAGCTGCTGCCCCAGCCCACTCTAAAGAATTAAATGTCATCCTTTTCTCAGTAGGGTGAGATGCAGGTTCAAACCTTCTCAGCCAGAGGAACTAAAATATGAACATCTGGACTGTTGCACAGCAGAAAAGTTGTTTTTCTACACTTAAAAACTACATTTTCTGTCTGTCTGAATCCTGCAAGTTGCATTTTTTCTTTTTCGGGCAAGTAAAAGGGCTAGATCAACAGAATATTGTTGTGGCAAGATAACAAAAATATTTTTTGCTGCTTCTCCCCTTTCCCAGACATGCACATCCACATGTGCACATGGATACCTTAAGCTAACTAAGACAGTTACCTAGCACTGCTCTCTGTGATGTGTATTTTTAACACTGCCAGAGCAGGAGGTGATTCAGGTGGGGTTCTTGCAATGGCTGTGCTCTAATCAGCATGGCTTGCAACTGTCTTTTCATTCTACTTTCATTGTTTCAGCCTCCTCCCCTCACCCCCAACCTATTTCAGCCTGCAGTGGTACAAGTGATTATTTTTTCTTACGTTCTTAATCTAGGGAAGCATTTGATAATGTTTTCCACTTCCAAAAAATCTGATGGCTGCTTATTTAGGAGCACCCCCTCTCCACTGAGGAATCCAGGGATTTTCCTCACTTCCAGAGTTGGGTTATCTCCAAATTCATTTGTGCTACTTAGTGATTTGGTTTTAGTTAGCAAGAGTTTCCAGCCTGAATCCAGCTTACCGTGACAACCTTTAAGAAAACCACAGAATGATGTAATGAGCCCCTGCATGGAAAAATAAACAGCTCTGGAGAAACCAGCAGTAGCAGCCTCAAGTAAATATTCTTCAGTCACTTGGGTTTTGAAAATGACGTTATTTGAAAGGAAGAATGAGTAATATATTAAGGTTAGCAGCTGAAGACAGGTTTGTGTGTGCTGTGCCTAGTTTAGG